GACCTCGGGATCGCGTCTCTGCTTTTTGCAGACGACGTGGTACTGTTGGCTTCATCAGACCGTGACCTTCAGCACGCACTGGAGCAGTCTGCAGCTGAGTGCGAAGCAGCGGGGATGCGGATCAGTACCTCCAAGTCTTAGGCCATGGTCCTCTGTCGGAAATCGGTGGATTGCCACCTCTGGGTGGGGGAGAGTTGCTTCCTCAAGTGAGGGAGTTTAAGTATCTCGGGATCTTGTTCATGAGTGAGGGAAAATGGAATGACCTGCTCCACCTACTGCCCCCGTGACCCGACCCCGGACAAGCGGAAGACAGTGGATGGATGGATGGATGGATGGATGGATGGATGGATGGATGGATGGATGGATGGATGGATGGATATTTGCTGAACCAGAAGCTAGTGGCCATTTCATTTGTTTTGGTGAGAAAGTGTGGGGCTTAAAGGTGAGGTGTTCGCACCGTGCCTGGAATGATTATATCTGATCAGCAGCTTGAATGGGCTAAGATAGGATTTTAATCAGAAGATGTAGATGGGAAATGATGGTCCTTTTTGCTTGTGCTGAGAAAGTGAATGTGAGAGAGCTGGGAGTGCAGATCATGTCTGATTGACTGGGATGGAGTGAGGGGTCGTATGTGGATGAGGTTGGAACAAATTCAGAGCATCTTATGAAGGTGAAAAAGAACATGGATTCTAGGGTAAGTTTGGCTGAAGGAGAACAGTAGCCTGAGTGTAGTGTAAGGATGCAAGGGCTAAGGAGATTGGATGTGAGTGGTAAGTGCTTTGTGGTGTGGGCAGGTTCTTGTTTTCATAACCCTTTAAGAAGCACTGGCACATCTGAATGAGAGATGAAGGGGCAGTAACTACCATTAACCAGTTTGAGGAAAAAGTTGATACCAGACAAGCAGGCTTGGTTGGTGGAGGAGTGGGTTTTTAGAGTGGAATAGGTCTGGGTCAGGAAGTTGCAGATCGACAAGAGGTCTTGTGAGGAAAGAGACAGATGGTAGATTGCACGATATGACTTCAAGTCAGTTAAGTAAGCCAAGAGGAGTGTGGGGCGATGCTGTTGAGAATTGGTTTATTGCAAAGCGTTTGAAAGGTTCAACATGATGGTTCAAATGGTAGACCTGGGCATCCCTATAGCTCACCTCGTTGAGCGGACAACCCATGAACAGGGGCTATAGTCCTTGATGCAGCGGTCGTGATTTCGACTCCTGCTCATGACTCTTTGCTGCAGGTCTCTCCCCATTCTTCTCCCCCCTTTTCTGTCTCTCTCCACTGCTCTAAATAAAGGCAAAAAGCCAACAAAAAAAAAGACCTGGAGTGGGATGGATGTCCAATTCTGGGGCTAAGAGTCTGAATGACTGAAACAAGAAGTAAGTCAATGAATCAGTGATGCGGTTATGATGCCCAGGGACGTGAGCTGCACTGAGGAGGAACTGGTGTTGGGTTGAGATTTATGCAATGGAACTGCATAACTAGTCAACATGATTACTAGTCAACAGAAACAACCTTTGTTTATTATTTCTACTACTGCAGTACTGTGGTAGATGAACCACAGTAGAACATGCATGCCCCCAAAGAATGTCAGCTATTACAATGGGGTATAGCTCAGAGAGTGCAGATGAGGGAAAACTTGACTCAAAGTCGTGGGGGCCACCAAAGTAATGGAAAGAGCTGTGTCTGTGTAAAGCTTGATGTCCTTGGGTTGGGCAATATGGTCAGTGTGAAAGAAAGCTACTGTTCCAGGAAGACAGAAAGTTTTGCCAGAGGTGCATGTACATTTTGCATAGGCTGTTTTGTGTGACTTTGTCATGGAGAAAAGGGATGACTGTTGCTTTTGTTGGACAGTTGGAGGGGAAGAAGAGAGGTTTTACCCGGGAATGTGTAAATACCACAGTACACCAAGTTGTAAAAGTTCTGCTTTCCACCACTGTGGTTAACCCAGTGTCTAACACAGCTGGAAACCCATTCAGAGAAAGAAGGGGGAAAAAACAAGCTAATTGTACAGTCAACAAGATAATGCATGAGGGGTGACCCGATAGCCAAGTGGTTGGGGTGCAGACTAAAGGTGCTGGTCATATAATTAGAATATCATGAAAAAGTTTATTTATTTCAGTAATTCCATTCAAAAAGGGAAACTTGAATATTATATTAATTCATTAGACACAGACTGATATTTTTCAAATGTTTATTTCTCTTAATTTTGATGATTATACCTGAATACTAATGAAAATCCCAAATTTACTATACTAGAAAATTCTGCTTTTTCATGACATTCTAATTATATGACCAGCACCTGTACATGGGCACATATGCCCCGAGTAGAGGATCCACGGATTTGCTGTCTCTCTATCTCTTTTGTCACTTAAAACATACCTCCTCTTCTCTATTGTCTAAATCTGTGTTTTTCAGACTGTCATCATTACACTGCATTCTGCTGTGGTCTTGACTACTTTCTTATGATTGGTCTTCAAGCAGCCTTTTACTGCCTATTAATAACAATTTTGACAGAAGTCGGTCTCATCTTTGTGCTGCATCCTCGATGTTCCCTGGGTGCATCACAGCGCAGTTGTGTGGGATGGCGCATCCCATGATTTCTTCATAGCTGCATTTAGATTCTGCAGCTCCAGAAAACAGGACTGTTATTTGATCTCAAGGTCACCACAGAGCCTCCAACATGGTTGTTGGGTGCCAAGTTTGCTCGCTTTTGATCTACGGTGTAATGAAGAACTTAATTAGATTCTTCCAAGCAAACTCTCTTCATACTAGGGAGACAGTGGCAATATGACCTGCGGTTTGCCCTTGTGATATGGATCCATTTTAATTCTCTCACTTTAATTATAGCGTTCACGTCACACATATCTCCTGCTTTCACAAAACAGCTCTACAGTTCAATTTTTGCCTGGATTTTACACAGGATTTTTATTGTAGGTGTATTATCTAGATAAGCAATCTGATCACGGTGTCTTCACATTTACACCTGCAGTTAATAAGTATTATTGTCATCTTACTTCTGCTTGTAAACCACAAATGGCTGGTGATCAGACCTTGGGTTACGTACTTTTGAAATGTTGGATTCTAAATCGAAACCACAATTTGAAACAATGCAATAAGGAAATCACAAAGGTACATGTTATGCAGCACATCTTTCCTTTATGCTGTCCTCCTTGTGTTACAGCCGTGCTTTTGATCTCATGTGAGACACTGAAGCTTGACTTTATAAAAAATGTTACCACTAATCAAATCACAATTTTTGTCAGAAAAATTGCAATTACATATTCTTCAAAAACCATTCAACCTTAATATGTGTATGTACAGTTTTAATCTTAGCACTGCAAAATTGAACAGATTTACACCTTATAAGCAGCAACTATAGTCCCAATAGCTAAAAACACCTTCCAAGAACTCCACAGCTATCTTTGGAGAAAAAGGGGTTGGTGTGGCCAATTAATCAAATTAAAGGAAAACAAATAAAATATCTCCTCAGGGGATGACACAAAGACGAGTACGTTAGTTATTTTAGGATGCCAGCAGGAGAACAACACAGCCCTGAACCATGAAGTGTCAGAGAGATGGACTGCAGATGCACACATCCTGGCATGTAGGTCACCTCAGCAGGGTGCAATGGACCGTTTATAGCCAAGGAACAACAGTAGTGTCAGTCCAAGATGTGCAATGGGACCCTTTGTAATTTAAAGACAGTTGTGTTTCATTTTCCACCACGCAGACAATGAGCCACACCAATCAAATGAGGTGCAGGCCACATAATAGTTAAATGCATTCCAGGTAGGTTCCAACAACCATACCTAAGTGCCACCTCTCTCTTCTTCCTTCATGTGTCCTTTAGCCTTCCTGACAGAACCTCAATCTAGACCTCATCAGATACTGACTGTTAGACAGTGATGTAAAAACAACAGATGATGTTCTTGACTGTGCTGCTGTAAGCCTTGACTATTCAGCCATATCTACAAAAAAAAAGTAAATTAAAAATCATCTATTTACTGACGGGTTGCCCCAGTATCAATAAATGCGTGTCCACTGCCTGAAGAAACGTGATGTGCTAAAGCTACAAGCACCACTGGCTGCTGTCCTACAACACCAAGTGTGACCATTCCCGGCTCGGTGTTAAAGAGAGCACTAGATCGGCAGCATTGTTTAAAACAGCACAGAATAGCGATGTGCTGCTGTTTGTGCCAGCTGTGGCTCTGAGCGGTGCCAGCGTTCGGCTCCTGTGTTCCAGTGGCTGCTGACAGATGCTGACAGATGTGAGCGGCTCGACATGATGCAGGTAGATGGAAAGAAGACGTCACGCCAGAATCCACTCATCAAGTCTTCCTGAAAAAATCGACCTGCCTTGCTTGCACATGACTATACAATAAAACATAACAAAACAAGAGTTTACATTCAGCTCGATCTCTGTCTTAAACCTCAGTTAGCAAAAGCTCAGTCTGAATTTCTCCGAGACTCCACCTGAGAAATCGGGAGAACTCAAGCTAACGTTAGCTAATGTCCACTGCAGAAGTTGCCGTTTTATTTTATATAACATAAATGTATGTATACTATCTATGCCGAATCGCGACAATCACTCGCCAAATTTGAAATCGCTATCTGGTATTATTTAACGAGACGACTGCTGCTGCTCACAAGTAAGGCCACTTTAAATTGCCCGAAAATTAAATAAGGTCTGGCGTGACTTTTACACATGACAAACAACGATACGTACCATTGCCAACAGCTCGCTAAGCAGTTATGAAACTCACATTTCCACTAAAGCGCATAGAGCATTCAACTTCATGACATTTAAACCCCTGTCATTACCAGTAGCAGCTACACCGGAGACGGTACCGTTAACAGCCTGAACACCGCCGCGTTTAAATGTCACCGTGACCACAACCTGCCACAGCAGCCATGTCCACGGAGCTCAGCGCTAAAACAACCCGCTCGTCCAGGTGCCACCAGCTCCGCGGTGAAATAATAGTAAAAGGCTGGCAAGTGTCTCACCTGCAGTACTGAAGACATTCTGCTTCCACTCCGCTGCCTCGCTGGCTGTTAAAAAGCCTCGGAGTACGGGCAGCTCCACGTCGAGCGGCATCACGGAGCCTCTGGTCTCTGGTTCAGTGAGCTGGAGCCGCTGCCTTCAGTCCGGACGGTCCCGCTCAGAGTCGACGGTCAACCGCTGTGTTAGTGAGCCCAGTCAGTACTTCTCATTCACTGATAAAATGTTTATTTCCACCCATGTGGTGCAAGTGGCATCAGTAAGCAGCCATGACAGATGCGCGTTGCATTGTGGGAAAACTAATGAAGGCGTGCACAGGGATGAAGCCGCTGGTTTCAGTCAGCACGGAGAAGCTGGAGCTCGTGTTAGCCTGTGAAACATATCAAAGGATAGCTGAGTGCTGTCATAATTGACATATTAGGCTTCTACTCAACAGTTGACAATATCATTTTAGTACAAGGTTAATATTAATAATTTTTCATTATGACAAAGAAGGAATATTTTTAAATGAAATAAGATGCATTTCACCGTGACTCTGTAACCACTGGTTTGTTTAAACTGGGCTTCTTTGCGCTATAAACTTATGAGCTACAGCTGGCCCCGCCCCATCAGGAAGAACTGCCTGTCAATCACAGTTTGAGTTGGGCAGCGATTGGTTAGCTTGATGTGATGTAGCACCTGGGTGGTAGTTTTACTTCTGTGTCAAGCTGGGAGGCTCACTGGTTGTTTGGGGCCTCAATGAATGCAGACATAAAAATAAATTCATTAATTAAATTAAAATACATCAATATACCTTTTTTTTATTTCACACCTCAACATTTAAAACAACTACAAAACACAATAAAGCAATCCTGTGTTTACCAGTTAGTCGCTGCAGTAATGCTAATACAGGTGTAATGCTTTCCCTTTTTTTGGTACCACTTTAAGTCATGTAGTATACTGCACCAGCTAAAGATGAGATGTTGAGGACTGGCCAGTACCCATATACTGCGAGTTACAGTGATCCAGTCTTGATGAAATTAATCCACTGGTCAAAGTCTTAATGTCATTCAGACATGATCCAAATTAAAATCTTTAGCAAGGTTCCTCAGAGTTAATGTGGTTGTCAAATTCTAATGCTGAATCAAAGATGACACCCAGATTTCTGGCACAGTTTTCTGGGTGTCATCTGGCACAGTTTAGCCAAACTCAATCACTTCTGTCCTATTCTCATTGAGCTAAAGACAGCTTTTGGCCATCCAGTACTTCAGATGGATGTACTCAGAGGAGCATGAATTAGTGTGTCATCAGTGTAGTCGTAGAATGTTTCTGGAAGACATTCTTCATTTGTTGAACATGTCTAAACATCAGTGCAACAATAGCCCCAGTTTGTACCCCTCATATATTAGCAAACATGCAGGTCACAGAGCTAGTTGTCGGTTTTTCCGAAACTAACCAGCAATGATGTCCAGAAAGGTGTTAAAAACACTCACTAACAGCAGAAAGTACAGCCCTGTGTAATTTCGCTGAAGTGTCAAATCATTCAACATTGTATCACCTCACTCACTGTGTTAGTATAGAGTTGAACAGTTAAGTATTTGTTATTATGAACAATCAAAACATATACTACTGAAACAAAAACTATGTTGTTAAAAATAATAATAATAATAATAATTCCTATCCATTCTCTACACACTGCTTGATCCTCACTGGAGTCTATCCCAGCTGACTTAGGGTGAAGGCAGGGGACACCCTGGACAGGTCGCCAGTCTGTTGCTACACTTAGAGACAGACAACCAAGCACACTCACATTCACACCTACGGACAATTTAGAATCACACTTAACCTCAACATGTTTTTGGACTGTGGGAGGAAGCCGGAGAACCCACAGAGAACCCACTCTGCACAGGGAGAACATGCAAACTCCACACAGAAAGATCCCAGGTGTCCTCACCAGGATGCGAACCGGTGACCTTCTTGCTGAGAGGCAACAGTGTTACCAACTGCGCCACCTTGCAGCAAACATGAACATGGTAATAAAATGAGCTGTAAACATCAGAACTTAGTTTTGGACCTATGGGCTGTGTCTATCAGCATGACTGCATCATGGATCCCCATGGGAAAGAATTGTGAGAGGAATTGAAAAAACAGATTGTGTGACGCTACAAAGTTGGACAAGAATACAGGAACATCATGCCCAACAAAAAATATCAGTGGAAACACAGTAACAGCAGTAATTAGGAGGTATAGAACGAGACATAGTACCATTAAGCAAATATGCAATGTCCATCCTCCTAAAATGATGTCATGCAAAGAGCACTACTTCTACAATCTGGCTCTGAAAAGCAGACGGACAAGTGCTCTCGACTTGATGACAGACATTTTTAGATGACCCCATGAAGGCCTATGGATGTACCAAAATACTGGCGGACAAGACGACTCCCAGTCTGCAGAAGTTTGGCAGAAGATTCCAAAATTCCTTCATGATAATGGTCCAAAGCACCTTGCCAAAAGTTTAGATCCTTAAATACTTTTCTAACTTTATGGATGAAAATATATTCCATTCACTTATAGGAAAAGATTTTTTTAATCTGTTTTGCAAGTTCTTTCACATAGAATCTGACAGGAAGTCAGCAGAGGCATACATTAGTAAGCCAGCTGAAAATCTATTATAGCAATATAGAATAGAATGCTAAATACATTGTTGCACATCTAACTTATTTGATGTTTGTCTTGTGTCTTGTATGTTTGTCTGAACTCTCATGTCGTGTCATTTGTGCGAGCTCAATTTAAAAAAAAAAAATAAAATATATATATATATATATATTTTATTTTTTTTTTAATGGTAAAAATTCAAATGATAGTGATTATACAGAACAACTGGAGTTTTACAAGATGTATTACTAAAAATGATGTGACAATCTGACCATCACATTTTACATACAGATTTTTTATTTTTTTATTGATATGTCACAATGATGGTAATTCTACAACATTACTGCAGGTCCAAACTACACACAAGGCTTCTGCAGAAGGAGAAGAGCAAGGTCAGTGGGTGCTTACAGTAGGCATCAAAGATCTTAAAGGTGTGTTTAATTGTCCTTTGAAGTTGCCCTATAATCATTGTGATCTCATTGAAATCAAGCCTAGTTTATGATACTATGTCTGGTTGATAACTGTGTACCTCAGAGGATATTGACTTTGTTTTGGGGACAACATTTGTCCAACCACAGCACCATACTTTACTCCCCACAATCAGTGTTTTTGTCCAGGTTAAGGTATCTTGGCTACTAAAAAATTAAATTTACACACAATTCTATGAAATTGCAATTTCACAGCAAATTCTTGGCTAAATATTTGTTTTTAGCATCCTTAGTCTTCCTGCCCATGTTGAGTTTCCTCTTCAGCCTCTGTATTTGTCATTAAGGAGTAGTGCTTTGAGTTGTGCCTGGCTTCCTTCCAGTGTTGATGAATGTCTCGATGAACAAAGAACCAGGGGAAAACACATTCACTTCACAGACTGGATTGGCTTTTAAGATAGCTAGTTTTAATTTACTGGACTGCTTATACCTCAATACAAGTCGAACGCTCTGAGCTCTTTTCAATCTTCATAACAAGCAAACACTGAATTTCCTTTCAGACAAACTAATGGGGGTGGCTGTGGCTCAGGTGGTAAAGAGGGTCGGCGATTCGATTCCGCCCTGTGTCGTGGTCGTTGTGTCCTTAGGCAGACACTTCACCCACCTTGCCTGATGTGAATGCGTATGAATGGATTGTTTGAAGTGGTGGTCGAATGGCAGCCACCCCTCTGTCAGTCTGTCTGTCAGACGCCCCAGGGCAGCTGTGGCTACAATCGTAGCTTACCACCACCAGAATGAATGTGTGTGAATGAATAATTGACAGTGTATCGCATCTTTGAGTGTCTAGAAAAGCGCTACATATATATGATCAATTAAAGCCGCAAGCAGCATTGGACGGGTCCTCACCGTACACTTGTCGACCTTCGCGCACGTCGGAGTGTGGCGCAAACATGCTTGGGGAGGGACTCTGATTTGGCGTGTCGGATTTGGGGCAGATCGAAGCACATGTGGCCTAGTTACGAGCCACTTCCTGTTTAGTGGCGAGCTGCGGCGGCATGCGTGTTGACCATGGCGGAAACAAGCTGTGGCTGAGACTCAGAGCATGCGTGTAAAGTTTCAGGCCAATGGGAGCACACACAGGCCAGTTACACAGCATGTCTCGTATTCTGGCGTTCTATCGCGTTGTGGCCAAATTGCGAGGGGCGCCATTTCCACGCCGTCACACTTGTGCGGACCGTTTTACTAACGTGTAATCACCACCTCCTGTAGTTTGTGCTGGTCAAATTTCAGGTGTGTATGGCCTTCCCTGTAGGAGGAGATAGATTGTGAAAATGGCCAAAAATGGCCAAATGTCAGCCAACGTTGCCAAAATTGTCACAATGTTTTTTCAAAATAACGGACATCCTGTTGGGTTTAGGGCTTGGCCCTGATTGACTTTTTTGTGTGTCCTGATCTGTTACACATGCCCACTGAATCTTGTAGCTGTAGGTGAAATGGCCTTCTGACTGGACTCCGTTGAATGCAAGGAAGACAGCAAAAATGGCCAAAATGGCCATTGATCAAAATTGCTCGGGCCGCCATTTCCAAACCGGGCCTCATCTGCGGTGCGTTTTGATAACTTTGATAACGTCCTGTAGTTTGTGCTGGCCCAATTTCAGGTGTGTACCAAAAATGGCAATTTTTGAGCGAAAATGGCTCGGCATGCTCGCGGTTTTTCCAACATGGCAGATTTCCTGTTGGGTTCACAGAAACATGCTGATGAACTTTTTTGTGTGGCACAAGTTGTTACATATGTGTGCTGAATTTCGTAGTTGTAGGTGAAACGTAGCCCCAATGGGACTCTGTTGAAATATTGTAGGGGGCACAGTTGAGCCATGTTGCATTTTAGAGCTTGGCGCTGACGACTTTTTTGTTCTTCCTGACCTGCTCTACATGCCTATGAAATTGCGTAGCTGTAGGCCAAACGTGCTTCCGACAGGACTCCGTTGAAATTTTCAAGGTGGCGCTGTGGAGCAGTTTTTGTATTGAGGTGTGTATTTTTCTTCCAAATTCAAACATTTTTCGCTGGGTCTGATGTGTGTGCCAAGTTTTATGCAGTTTTGAGTATGTTGGGGGCCTCAAAAACACATCTCTTTGTCACGAATATGAATAATCTCAAGCATTTCAATTGGGTCTTCACACCCTTTGGGTGCTCGGACCCTAATGATGATCACAACGGTTACTATAG